TTATATTCTTATAGTCTTATTCTATATACATTAAGTCATCTTTGTGAAATCAAATTTAATTTTCATCCCATGAAGTATTATTAATCGCGAGTAAACTCCATAAGAACACTACCAAAACTCCGAAAAAACGCCAGCGAAACTCCAATGAAGCTCCGCAAAACATAAAAAAAAACTCGACAAAAACTCCCTAGCTACTCTGAAAATACACGACAAAAACTCGACGAAAACGCCGAAAAAACTCCACTGCAACTCCGAAAATATCCAACAAAAACGCGAGGTAAACTCTATAGCGACTCCGAAAAAACTGGACGAAAACTTCTCGAAAACTCTAATAATACACTTTTGTGACTCCGTGTCGTAACTGCACACGATACTCCTTGCATAAACCTCTAAAACTCCGCGTAAACTCCACTTATACCCCGATTAAACTCCGAGAGGGCGTATACTCCATAGTAACTCCGCGTAAACTCCGAGTTTACGCTGAGTCGCCGAAACCGCTAGGGTCTATGTTAATAAAGTTATACATTACTCCAGATGTCTAACATAATTGTTTTAAGCATACCTGAGGAATTGATGTAAAGCAAATATTATTTCAGAAAGTGATTCAAATTTTTTTATTATTATAATTTTATTTTATAGTTTTTTTTTATCGTAAATTTTTCTATATTTTTTTAAAAAACTAGAGTCTAGAGAAGTGAGCGTGGAAAACATCTTTTATCAAGTTTAAAAAAAAACTTGTTCTAAATTATATATTTTTTTTTCACCAGTTAATTTATTAATTTTTGAGTAAATTAAAATTTATGATTAATAATAATAATAATAATTGTTATTATTGTTGAATATAGTTATTAATTTTATGAATGTCTCGTTGCTTTTTCCACGTGGATTTTGGCATTGGGATCTGGTGGACCGTGATAAATTTTGGGAATATGTCCGAAATCGAGGAATCCTGGTACTAATGTTCTTAAAGAGGATCAAGATGCGCCATATGCACAGGCTGAGTTATCTGGTGGGCTTATTTTCTCAACAGGTAGCACTGCTGCTTTATGCCACTCATCACGTACCTGAAAATGAAATAGTGGGTACTTTTAGTAATCAAGTTTAGTGGCATTGAGTTAAAGAGATCCATTTGCTGCTGAGTCCAATATTTAAAGCTGGTATTTATGTTACCGAAATTTTTTATTAAAAGCTTTCAAGCAAAAATGAGTCTTTACTAGAGAATTTTTTAATGGATATATATGCTATTGATAAGGAATTTACTTAAGAGTAATAAACGAGATTTATTGAAACTTTGAAGCTTATTCGAAACAAAAAATATTAATTGCACTAAAATAATTACTCGTAACTTAATCAAAGCTTTTTTCTATTGAAATAAATTTTCATCAGATAGTATTTATTAATAGTTAATAAATGTTTTTTTTGTAAATTTTATTTTAAGATTGTAGCATTGCTGCAGTTTCTGAATTTTTTACATCAAAAAGTTTTACTCAAAATTCCTTTTTTTTTTTTTAAATAACAATTTTGGACAGGACAAAAACCCTTTGTGTTTGTCTGCGTAATTGAATTCAAAACTATAATTTTCATTTTCATTGTTATTATTATTATTTTGAAATACAATAACACTTTTGGCAATATCATTTAAATTTTATATTACTATCAAACTATAAATTTTGTCCATTACTCCGACAGCATAATCAAAATTATCAATATTATTTCAAGTAAATTCATGTTCTCAGTTAAACTTTTTTTTAAGGGGGGGGGGTAGGGTTTTAAAGGTGAAAAAAAAGCATATTTTTGTGATTTTTTGCGGTGATATGATTGATATAATTTTATTAAATTTAATTACATATTATTGTACAACTATTGAAGTATGTCAGAAAAAATTTTCAACGAAAAATATTGATACATAAGCCGGTGACGTTGAATTTCCAAAGGCGCCTTGAAAAAAAAAAGAGGTTTTGCGGTGAACACTGTAACTCGTTACCGGATCATCTGAAACAAAAAAATTGATATGCGTTTTGAAGGGGAT